GAAGAGCGTTTTTGTGCTAAAGTTAGGGCCATGGGAACATCTTGCATTACCATATCTCATCGCCCAGCATTGGTTGCATTCCATGATGTGGTTTTATCCTTAGATGGTGAAGGAGGATGGAGTGTTCATTATAAAAGGTTTGAACTTTACTGTGCTGTTTATCATTGTTCTACTTTAGAGTATTTGAGATTAAGATTTAAACTCCAGGGAGGGCTCTTCTACTAAAATGGGTATTGATACAATGAAGGCATCAGAAACAAAACGACAGAGTGATGCAAAAGCAGTTCAAATTGCATTTTCCATGAGCAAAAAGGTTTAGATATTTTCTGATTTGATTCTTGTTGCCTTCATTGTTCTTTATTTTACATTGATTTTGAAGATTTTCACAACTTTTTCCCCAGGATTCTGCATTCTCTAGTCCAAAGGCACAGTCATATTTTGCGGAGGTGATATCATCATCTCCATCAATGAATCATATAATTTCACCATCTACTGTTCCCCAACTCCGTGGTAACACAAGGGTATTGCCATTGAGAGTAGCTGCCATGTGCAAAGTGTTGGTTAGTAAATGCTGTAACTGTGCTTTCGAGGTTTTTTTCTTGTGTGTGTGTATTAGTGTACTGTATATTCGCACAACTTTCATCATAGTGATTAATTCTAAATGCTTTTTGAGTTTATTTATGAGTTAAAAATAAAAGTAGTAAAAATGTGAAAATGGGTAATAAAAATGCAAGTCAACCTAAATATTATTAAAAATTAATCACTGAGTCATCTACTTAATGTCAAATCATGACTACAGTTGTAATTTTAACAATCAATAGATAAAAATTTAGCGAGGGGAACCTAAATTGCATATTTTATAAAATTGGTAGATTAAAATTGCAAATATGATATTATAGGGGAATCAAAAGTACAAAACCTAAATAAAAATAACTATTAAAACTAATTTTATACTTGATACATTTTTACAACTGTTTTATGATTTAATAGTTGTGTTATATTTAATTAAAACTGATTTTAAAAGTTAACACTTTTTTTTTTATTTTTAAAATCAGTTTGGTTATAACCAGTTATATAACTGGTTTCTTAAAAATTAAAACTGGTTCTACCAAACCAAAACCGGTTATAGAATATTGCTTATGGTTTAGTTATAATATCCACTTATCATATAAGGTTAATTTTTATAAAATTAATCGGTTATTATAAAATTGGTTAATTATGGTTATGGTTAACTTTTTAATGACCAGTTATTATTTGGTAAAAAATAAAACCCGGTTATTATAATCACCGCCCACTTGCAGTTATTTTCTACTACTAGTAGTCATTGATGGCAGAGTCGGTGTTAGGTTGGCTAACTTGCAGCCAATTTGGTTTTCAGGCTTTTGTTGGTTGGGAAATTAATAATTATAATCTTCTCTCAATATTGTTTTTTTACTGATTTCTGTTTGTTTATTAATCTGAAAAATGAAAAAGCTTATAGCTTTAAAATGTGGCTGAGCACCCCCACTGTTCGGACCTTCCCATTCATTACTCTGTCTTACAATTTGAATTTGAGCCTAATTCAACACCAAAAGTTAGCTCAAAAGGTTTGGATTTTCCATCACTTATATATTCTATTTTGATTATAACATTAGTTAATGTGGGATCTCCAAACACTGGTTTTTGTCAAGGATAAATGGTGGTGCTCACTGCTCACAGCATCCATACGAAATTTATAATCCCCAACTGGAAGGAAGAATATTAAGAAAAATGAAGAGAGCTGCTTTTGACTAGTTCTACTTCTCTTCCTTAATTCTATTAATTTTACCTCCCTATTTTTACTAAACTTGGTAAGACTTGAACGTTGAAATGCAATCAAGTTATAAATCACATAAATTCAAACCAAATTCAGAAGAACAGGAACAGTGCATAGGCTTAGATTATTAATTGTATTGTAATTGCATGGAGTTGGACTTTGAAATTACAATTCCAATTCTAAAAATGTTATAATTAAAAATTCCAAGCTCCAATTCCACACCAAATTCCTTGAACCAAACAAACACCGATTGTCTATTTTTAAAGCTTTCTCACGAAGTTTCACATTTTCTCCCCTAATAAGTTAAACCTGATAGGAAGCCGGATCCTATGAGTCTCGTAGCCTTATATGGGGAAGCCATTGAAGTGTACCCCTGAAGGCCCAAACACCCAGGGCCTACCCAGTTTTATCCTAGGCGGGAATAAGAGGAGGGGAAGCAATGGATTTTGTTATATAGTCACTAAAGGAATATTGTGGGGCATGCCGTTTGTTATTTTGAGATTGGAGTCTAGAGAATTATCTCTTACTTTGGAGCGTATTGCTCTAGTTTTACTTGTATTTCCTTTTTTCCCATCCAGTAATACAGATTTACAGACTTAATGATAGGATTTTCTATCACCAAACATGCATGTCGCATGTCTCTAACAAGCCCCTCACGTCCTTGAATGTGGATAATGCATATACCTACTTTGATGTTGGAATTAGTATACTAATTAAAAAATGGGTGCGTCACAGATTGAGTATTAAGCTATTAGGTGAGGTCCGTGAATAATTTATATCTTTAACAAATCAGTAAGACCAATTTAAACGAGACAGTATGTTATGACATATTTCCTTTTAAGCATGTCTTTAAGTGATGCAGTTGAAATCACACAACTCCAATGGGAGGAAACGAATCCATATACATGGTTGTTTGTACATTAGCTCCTGACAACTTACAATGACCCATTCTTATAGAATATACAGCGTACTTTGATTGATCTATAACTACAATATATTTCTGGCACTTTTTTCTTATGTGGACTGCTTCCTTTTAGGTACCCACTGTACTTGATAAACAAGGTGCACAACTGCTTGCTGTCGCTTTTCTTGTTGTTTCAAGAACATGGGTCTCAGATCGTATTGCATCACTAAATGGTATTTTCTCATCTTTTATTCATTATTCTAAGAATCCATGCTTATAATGTTAAATTTTTGTTTCCCTAAGGTACCACTGTGAAGTTTGTTTTGGAGCAGGATAAAGCTTCCTTTATTCGGTTGATTGGTTTAAGTGTTCTTCAAAGTGCTGCATCTTCTTTCATTGCTCCTTCTTTAAGGTAATTAGTACAAGTCCATCTGGGACCTTAATTTTTTCTATCTTTCACCAGTGACTTGTTTACATGTGGTTGCAGGTGAAATTTATCAAAGTTTTTTATATCATTGTTGAGTGGAAAATTTATTTTCTAAATTTTTATATATAAAATGAATAGAGTGAAAGTTAAATAGATATTTACAGCATTGAAACAGGGGGGAGGGGGTGTAAACTTGCTGGCCTTACAAATCTTTCAAATATCCAATTTGAGTAAATATCCTGTTCTTCAGGCACTTGACAGCCAGGTTGGCCCTGGGGTGGCGGATTCGTTTGACGCAACATCTGCTAAAAAACTACTTGAGAAACAATGCATTCTACAAGGTAATTGAATATGAATTGTTTGCTAATTCTTTTCCTTCCCCATTTTTTTTTTCAACATTGGAAGCATGTTCTATATTTTTGCTTCAATGATTAGTTGTTACTTGATAAATCACGATTGACTAGATTTTTACTATTTTACATGGAAATTTTTCTTGAAATAATTTTCTTTCAGTTAATTGTAGCTATGACTGTTTTACACTTCTTTGCCTTCAAATTTAACTCGGTTTTCAACTTGGTTCCTTGACTGTTTCAGTATTCTGCATTCCTGTAACTATTAAATTTATATCAATATTTTTCCTTCCCCCACAGTAAATGGGAATTTTCAAGGGAAAGTTTGATGCTATGTTAATCATGGCTGCATTCAAGAAGTTTCCATATAAGCAAGACAGTTATGTTTTGCATGACGTCTGGTAATCACACAAAGGGGCCATTAGATATAGTGAAATCTGAATTTTCCATCCTGAGCATGGGAATGACAATGACTGGAAACTGGAAAGCAGGGCTTTATTTTAATGATTTTTTGTCTTAGGAATATAAATAAGTATTCATGGGAATTTGCATGTTTATTTATAATTTTACTATTTCATCTTCATCACACATACAAATAATAAAAATGAAATTTAAATTTAATTCTTCAAGATTTAATTTTACTATTTCATCTTCGTCACACATACACACTTCAAAATAAGAAACTACAGACCACAAATAAGGGCATTCAAAAGAGATGGATGATTTTAAAGGAAATGGTATCATTTACTTTTTACCAGAGAAATACAGAGTACAGTTGCTTTGGGGCCCTCTTACTCGCAAGAGCATGTAAGGAGTGTATGAAATATTAGTTTTATGTTTTATTTTACTGTTTTTATGGGAATATGAGATGCTCATCCCATTAGGCAGGAATATTATTCTCACAAACTGGGAAAATGCCTTACCCATGAATAAACTATAAGTTAAGTTTTTGTCTTAAATAACATTTTAGTCCTTGTAATTAGAGATGAGAATAGCTTAAGTCTTAAATAGAGGTCTATAGCTTGGTCCATCTAAAGTCAGCCTAACTTATTTAATAAAAAAGTTAGATTTTGGTTTTTAGAAAAACCTGTTTATTTAAAAAGGGTAGACTTGGGTTTATAAAAAAAAACCTGTTAGATTTAATAGGCCAGTCAATTTAACTATAATAAAATTAATATACATATTGCATTATTAACAATATAATTAAATAAATAAATTTGAAATACAAAAAAATCAAATTATCTATATTTTTTACATTTCCACTATACTTAAAAGTTTTACATTCTCCATTCGTATGAAATCAAGAAATAGAAGATAGAAACTCTAACAATCGTATCTACACTTGCTCTTTTCCCTCATCTTTATAGTTAGTTATTTAGAATTTTTAAAATGAGATATTTGAGATATTTAGAAAGTTTTTTTTCAATGAAATTACACCCTTTCATCACAGCTTGTGCGTTACTGTACATGGTTATGAATGAGTTGTCTATTTTATGTTAGTTTTTTATTTTTCTTTTAAAAATAGATTTGTCGACTTATTTAAAATAAAGTTTATTGGCTTGTTAACGTAAAATAGGCTTTTAAACATGTTAATAGGCCAAATCAGTCTTTTAAAAAGGTTAGGCCAGGTCTGTAAAAAAGCCTATGATAGATAATAAGTCAGGTTTAGATTCTAATTTTATAGAACAAGCTTGGTTTATATATTCAACACCCCTACTTGTAATATACAGCCTTTTCAGCTTTAGTCCAGATTATATTTGATCCATGCTGAATGAATCCTTGTAATGTGTTGGTTATATTGATTTCAGTCCTTAAAATATGAATATAATCAACATATTGCAATGAATTATTACAAGGACCAAAATTATTATAGTCAACATATTACAAAGACTAATTTAACATAGACATAATATTACAGGGACTAAAGTCAAACAACAAGGACCAAAAACAAAAAATCCTATTTATCAAGTATTAAGACTGATAAGAATTTTTTTGTAGAGACTAAAACCAAAGAAGTGTATATGATGGGAACTAAAAGTTATCTAAGCCTAATTTTTTTAAATCCCAGGTATCCGTAAGGTCCATTTGCAAGAATCTCAAAAGCCGTCAGATATCAAAAAATAGTTCATAAGCAATAGTTTGAGATTAACTTTTTGTCATTGACTAAGTTTTAACTTGGGGATAAAAAGTATGACTTTATCTCTGCCATTATAATATGAATAATTAGAATCTTTCGTTTGGCTCTGAAACTCTTTAGGATGTCTCTTACTTGGTTTCAAATTTTTGCATGCATATTTTTTTTTTAGGTCTTTCACATGGCAAGCAAAAATATTGATGCAGATCAGAGGATAACTAACGACTTGGAGAAGTTAACAGCAGACTTGTCTGGATTGGTCACTGGAATGGTAAAGCCATCTGTGGATATTTTGTGGTGAGTGCCTCATAATTGAGTTATGTTTTACTGGTAGCGTGTATTTACTAGAACATATTTGATGCTTGTTCTTTCCTTCTACTGCTATTGCTAACTATTATTTTTGTCAAGGTTCACATGGAGAATGAAGCTGTTAACAGGTCAGAGGGGGGTTGCCATACTCTATACTTACATGTTACTTGGTCTGGGATTTCTAAGAACTGTTACTCCTGATTTTGGTGATTTGATAAGCCAAGAACAACAACTTGAAGGAACCTTTAGGTAAATCCATCAAAAAATCTATGCCTCTATGATGGAACTAAACAAATAATGCTGTTGTAATGATTCTGACCTTTTCAATTTTATGCTTCTGCTAGGTTCATGCATGAAAGACTCTGTACTCATGCTGAATCTGTTGCTTTCTTCGGTGGTGGAGCTCGAGAAAAAGCTGTGAGCATCCCATCTAAACAATATTTAATATCTTTTCTTTAAGGGTGTGCTTATTTTCAAAGGTGCAAACTTTAGAATGAAAATTGCTTTACACTTGCTTGGCACAATCAAAATGTGGAATGATTAGCAGTAGATATACCACAACATAAATCTACCATGCAACGAAGAGTGAAAACCAAACCATTCCATTCCACTATATTTTCACTCTCCTCTTAACTTCTCATCTTATTTAATGATTCTTGAACAAGCTAACTCTAAATGTACAACTTATACATGAGTTTGTGTTTTAATATTTTATTTGATGTAAGGCTCTAGAATGGGGCATGCGGTTATGCTCTGGGTTTAAAAGGAAAGTACACCTCATTTATTTTATTTATCCTACTATTTTGCATTGAATTTTACAGGCTGTAAATTTTACTATCATAACTTTGTGCAGATGGTTGAATCAAGATTCAAAGAGCTTCTCTCCCACTCGAATTACCTTTTAAAAAAGAAGTGGCTATTTGGTATACTGGATGATTTTATCACAAAGCAACTCCCTCATAATGTGACTTGGTTACTGAGCTTATTATATGCCATGGAACATAAGGGAGACCGTGCTTCAATAAGTACTCAGGGTAGGATTGTTGGACTGTTATCAGTAATTCCCTTTATCATCCTCTTGCCCCCCACTGACATAAGCTATACTATCTTACAGGTGAGCTGGCGCATGCGTTGAGGTTCTTAGCATCTGTTGTTTCTCAAAGCTTTTTAGCTTTTGGTGACATTCTTGAATTGCACAGAAAGTTTGTGGAGCTTTCTGGTGGTATTAGTCGGATTTTTGAGCTTGAAGAACTTCTTGATGCAGCACAGTCTGGTACTTCATTATTAATCGTTTTGCAAAGTATCAAATAATATCTTGTTATTTCTACAGCAATAATTCTTTATAATAGTCAGTCACCATGTATTAACCATATCTTTGATGATACAGGGGACTCCATCAATGATAGTATTACACCTTCAATGATGGATTATCATGCTAAAGATGCTATTTCGTTTTCTAAGGTTGATATTGTAACCCCTGCTCAGAAGATGTTGGCAAGGGAGTTGACATGTGACATTGAGCTTGGTAGAAGCCTGCTTGTTACGGGTATTAATGTTATTATACTTTCCTTTTCAGAAGAGGGAATTTTCTTGTGATTAGAATTTAAATCTTATGCGTGTCATATTTCAAAAGGTCCAAATGGAAGTGGAAAAAGTTCCATTTTCAGAGTTCTTAGAGGACTTTGGCCAATTGCAAGTGGAAGATTCTCCAGACCATCTGAAGATGTGGATCAAGAGGCTGGATCAGATTGTGGCATCTTCTATGTTCCTCAGCGGCCTTACACATGCTTGGGAACATTGCGGGATCAAATTATATACCCACTGTCCCGTGAAGAAGCAGAGTTTAGAGCGTTGACGATGTACGGAAAAGGTATTTAAATTGATGACACCTACTTTGTTTTATTTATCACTATTGCTGAGACAAGAATTTCACTTCTGAGCTGCCATACAGTTGTAATAATTCACAAAATAATTTAGATGTTAGTCATGTTGACAGCATTGAAGATTTATCCTTTCTAAATTTAGTGTAGAAAAAATTGTTTATTCAGTTTCCTTTTGTGAAACAATAATTTCTTGTTCTTTTTTAATCATTTTAAAGGGTTTACTTTTTTCCCATTTTAGTGCTGATCATTCTAATCTTGCCTAGTTCAGGCGAAAATCATCCTGACCCTAGAAAATTGTTGGACACGCACTTGCAAACTATCCTAGAGAATGTTCGGTTGAATTATCTTCTAGAAAGGGACAACAATGGATGGGATGCAAATCTCAACTGGGAAGACACCCTCTCTCTTGGAGAGCAGCAGAGATTAGGCATGGTATGTAAATCTAATCTATATTAATTTTAGAACGAGTTTGTTAAATTTCTTGAATATCTTTTTAAATATATTTGAGGCCTTAAAACCTCGATTCTTAAGTTGAGGAAGATATTATAATACGTTTATGATATTCTTCTATTTGGATTGTAACATTTACCTTATGTTCTTAAGGCACGTTTGTTCTTCCATAAGCCTAAATATGGTATCCTGGCGAGTGTACCAAGTATGTATGATTACTCATGCCTTTTTTTTTCTCCTGTGGAATTGTTTGCTTTTTTTTTTTTGTTAACCATTGTTTTATACTGTCTTGAAAAAAACATTGATGGCAGTGCAACTAGCGTTGATGTCGAAGAACACCTATATGGGCTTGCAAACAAAATGGGAATCACAGTGGTTACTTCCTCACAAGTAAGAATCTACAAGTATAGTACTGAAAAAAAATAAAACTTTATCATGGTAAATAACTAAATATAGAGAAATAAGAACAGTTCACTAGTTAGTCATTCTTTGTTTCATTACAATTGGGATTTGGTAAGCATTTTGAACTTGCCTATTTTGTTATGAGATTCCTTATGTGATTTCAGATCCAATACATTCCTTCTCCGCTCAAAACTTTTTGATTTTTATTTAGTCCTAGGCTTCTTCTAGCTTACCAGTTAACTTCTCCAAACTGAAAATGCATTATAACCATCCACGTCCCATCAAACTAATTGCCTTTGCTTCTGTTCTCTCAGCGTCCTGCTTTAATACCATTTCATTCCATGGAATTGCGTCTGATCGATGGTGAGGGTAATTGGGAACTTCGTTCGATCAAGCAATGATTTTTGCAAGGTACTGTTGCTGCTGGCTCTCATTATTACTATAGATGTTGCCGAGTCTTGAACATACAGACTGATTGCAAGCGGATATTAGGTTTGCCATTTTTTTTTTCTTTCATTTTTTTTTTCATTTTGGGTTTAACATATTCTCCTAGCCTCATTTTTTTTTTGGGGCTCCGTAGCCTTGTGGGGGCAACAAATAAAAATAGCATTGATAGCCAAAATGGTTAATAGCAAGTTGGAATGCACAACCTTTCCATGATCTCTGCGGTATATAATCAATCATGTACAGCGTTTTCCATTCCCTTCTATTATTAGGTAGCTGATATTTATTCATATTTTGTAACCATTGGATGTAATTATTGATATTATTTTATCAATAAAATGGCACGAAACAGGAGTAGCTCTTAGAGGTATTTTATCCCCTTCATAATTCTGTGCATTTTTGTACGCTTGAGATCCTTTGTTGTCCAGTGCTCCCGTTCCAGCTGAAATGCTTTCGTCTAACCTCTTGCGATGTGACTATTCTGTTATGCTCGTGGACTGGGTAACTTTGAGGTATCAAATTTGATCAAGAGTCTATTATTGGAAAATTCATTCAAATTTACCGTGATAGTAAAATTTTGGAGAAAGAACTGTTGTAGAACCTCAGGATTCTGTGTGTTGGATCTTTTAATATACAAAATCCGTATGTAGACTTAAATTGTTTGTTGGTAGAAGTTATATTGATCCGTATTTGTTGAAATCTGGTCATCCATAAGCACGATTACATGATTATAATATGATAATTATTCATAGTATTTCTTACCAATGTGGGAATCACATTCTCAACCTCCCTCTCGGCTGCTACAATTGTTCTTAATTAACAATAGTGGTTCGAGTTCATCCAATTTTACTAGTACACGCTTATTGGTAAAGAAATTAGTAGTTTGCATCTCGCGAGAATATAGCAAGATATGTACTAAATGAGTCCATTTGCAAATTCATGATCGCTTTACGATTGAGATGAATGATTCCACTCGTGGAATATTTAACCGATCTTTTCAGGTTTTAGCTAATAATGATAGATACCACGTGATTTTCAGGTTTTGTAACTATACATTCTTTTAGGCATATGTGGATAACTAAACCAATTGCGATGCAAAGATAGTGCTTGCATACTCGGATACTCAGCAAGGGAATTCATTACTGTCAGCTAATAGTTTACATCACCCCAACGCATTTGCGCCCATCTTTTTGTCGTTGATCCATAAACTCTTCAATTCAATAGCCAAATTGTTTTTTAAAAAAAAAAAAAACTGTGGCTGAAGTTTTCCCAGTTGTCACTTGTCTAGAGATGATAATTGGGCATAAGTCTCAAATTTGTATGGCCTCATCAAGATACTATTCTTTTTATGTTATGCAGTTAACGTGCTGATTTACAGTGTAATGATTTAATATTGATTTTTAAAAGTAAAAATAAATAAATAAATAAATAAATAAAGAAGTGGGTAAAGTTTGCCCGGTTGGCAGTTGTCTAGACATGACAAATGGGCATAATTATCAAATTTATGTGGCCGCATCAAGATGCATGGAAAAATGACAAAACCAGAAGAAGAAAGAAAAAAAAAAGTGCATGGAAAGAAAAAACCATGGCACTCTGCTACACCAGTAAAGACAACCAATAATGATGGGTAAAATCAGCAATATGAGAAGATAAAATCTTTAAATTGATTTCTCTATGAAAAAATTATTGTTGATTGCTTTCAAGAGGGGGATTGGATATCTTAAAATCAATTTTGTTAAATAATCAAACATGTATCGACCTGATTCTGGTTATCTTGAAATAGTGTCAGCTCCACACAATGTTAGATTTAAAATAAATCTTTAAGTGAAACTTTTTTAAAATCGGTTATAAGAGAATAAAAAAAAATATTTTTTAGAGACGAGTCTTAAAAAATGACAATATTTGTATATTTTTAGAATTTAACCTTTTTAAAATGAATTTTTAAGAATGCAAAAAGTGACTTTTAAATTACTTTTTAAAAAATATTAACAATTTTTTGAGAAAAAAAAAATCTAAAATGAAGATTTTATTCGCCTTATATTTGAAGCAACCTATTCAACATGAAAGTGAAACCAATCGAAGTCACAATTAAATTAGAGTAAAATTAGTAATACCAATGTTCTAGCTCAATATAAGTAAAGTAGTGTGGTTAACTTCTTGTTACATCTAATAAAATGGACAGAGAATTAGAGATCATGCTTTTTTATGCGCCTTTTATCACGGTGGTTGGCAAGACATTATTTAAACCTCTCTTTAATTAGACCACTAATAATATTTTTTTATTCTAATCTTTTTCACCCTTGGGGTTGGGGTCCCTAGTGGAAGACTGCAACTTGACTGTTTGAATTGCAACCCAACTCCGTTGCAATGTGAACTATCCCAACTAGATCAAATTATTATAAGTAATATGATAAATAAATAACAATAATTGTTAAATTAACGTTATAAAATGATGGTAATAGAATTTATTAGAATATAAAATGGAGTATTACTATAGAAAAGTGGGAAAAATTATAACTTTAATTTTCATAAATCAATCGGTCATTAAGTAATTATTATAAAGTTCATACATAATATTCTTTAAAAATATTTTTTTAATCTTTATAATTTCACTTACTTTATTTTTTTAGTCTTTATAATTTAAAATACATTTTTTTTATTTATATACTTATTTTTCAATTTTTTATTATCCTTATATATAGTTTATGATAGATTTTTTAGTTTATGTACTTGTAATTTTTTTTTTAATTTTTTTGTCATTTTTTAATATTATTTCTTTTGTATTGACATGATAAATATATTAAGGTTTAAATATGTTTTTAGTCCCTCAAATTTAAGGTAAATTTGTTTTTAGTCCCTCAAATTTAAAATTGTTATTTTTAGTCCTATAATTTTAAAAAATCTTATTTTAGTCTTTATATTCAAATTTTGTTAAGAAATTTATCAAATATTGCATAAAATCTACCTATCGATATTTTTATTAGTGAAAATATCAAATTAAATCTGGTTAATATCACATAACTGTCGTAATTAGTCATTTTCAAATATGTTATTGGTGATCTAAGGGACTAAAATAAGATTTTTGAAAATTATAGAGACTAAAAATAACAGTTTTAAATTTGAGGGTCCAAAACCAAATTTACCTTAAATTTGAGGGACTAAAAACATATTTAAGCCATATATTAATTCAAATTTGAATATCTAATGTTGAATTTATTTTTGTTAAAATTACTCTAAATTAAATCTCTTATTACTATATCAAACCATAAAGATTAAAAAAGATTGAAAAAAATAAATATAAAAATTAAAAATATTTATTTTAAATTATAAAATTTAAAAATAAACTAAATGAAACTGTAGAGATTAAAAAGTATTTTAAAAATAATTTTTTTAAAATAACATTGTAATTTTTATATATAAATTAAATTAAAATGTTATTAATTTGAGCTTCTCGATAATAATGGCTTACAGCTTACTAGTAACTAAAAATAACAATAACTGAATTAGATTAATATTATAGTGAGACGATAGTACACTAAGCGTAAAGTTAATTGAAATGAAATTACCTTAATTCAACTCATCATCAGTTTAGAATTTAAATTTCGAATATGTAATTACAATAATTACGTGAAAAATTTATAGTTTAAAATAAATTTTATCGACTTAAATAAGATTATTTCTTGTACAAATTAATATTCTTTAGAGAAAGTTATTTACCTTGAGTTCTCAATAATATTGGCTTAATGAGATTAATGTTATAATGAAATAATATCAAATGAATATTTTTGTTAATTTTTCTGGCAGTGGGAAAATTTTGTACTATTTAACAATTTCAGCTTGTTTGTTACATTGTCTAGTCAATTGGATAAACATCAGCTATTAATAGATGTCATATGTTCCTTTTAAGTCGCTGTTGAAGCCAGCAACTTAGCAACCATTTTTTAAACCTCATTTAGAACACTAACCAATATTTCTTAGTTTTTATTCTAATCTTTTCCACCTGTGGAATACTGCAACTTGACTGTTGCATTGTAACCCATGAGTCATATGCAAAATCTACCCTTTCGAGATTCTCACGGCCTTTCTTTAATAAAATAAAATCTTCCACATAATCTCAGAGTGCATGGTTTAAGATCTTAGTGGGCCTTATAATATTCATAATTCACACTGAGATTTTGGCCAGTTATAAATTATAGAATAAGTGTTTTAAGGATAAGAGAAGGATCCTCGAAAGTGGAAAGCATTATTATAAAATACACACTTGGTCATGGGCATTGGACACTATATATGTCACAACCATCCATGTCCAGAAAACATTAACTCAAACCTCAAACAAAGCCTCTAGCTCCTATACCCTTGTTACCTTCAATTCTTTCTCTTCTTTAATTTCTTGCTAAAACTCCTAACTAGTGATATTCCTCTATACTTTCCATTAATTTCTCAATGGATAAGTCCCGTAAAGTTCCTTCCTTCAGCTGTGAATTGAGAATTATACAAGCCCAAAACGTTGATTCCATCAAATCCACCAAAAACCTATTTGCTAGGTTATATCTTCCCTCAGGAAACAACAAAAGAATTCAACTCAACACCAAGAAAGTTTCCTCCAACACCAAACATGTTCCCTTTTGGAACGAGTCCTTCAGCCTAGAGTGTTCATGCCCCCAAGAATTCTTGGAAAGCCTCAAGAAGGAAAGCCTAGTGTTGGAGCTAAGGCAAAGCAAGATGTGGGGGTCATCACATGTGGTGGGGAGGGGTGAGATTCCATGGAAGGCAATTCTTGAATCACCAAACATGGAGTTCAAAGAGTGGGTGAAGATGATAGATTTGGTGAGTGGAATTAGTACTAGTGATTGTTGTGAAGATGATGCTACTTTAAGGGCACCACAAGTGCAAGTGGAGATAAAAATAAGAGTGGAGAAAGACAATAATAGGAGAAGGAGGTTGATCAAGGATAATTGGGATAAGTGTGGGTGCAAACATGGACATGATCAACATGCATGGTGCAGTGTCGATGATTATGATATATTTGCTTTGGGGGCAGTTTTGGAAGCTTTTTGATTTACACAAGAGCAAGCAATTTGATCGATGCACTAACCTTAGTTAGTTAATTAATTGTATGTTTGGATTATATGATTTCATTTGATCAGTATTGCTTAATTTTGTCTGTTTTCCTTTTCCACTCTGAAATATGTTACTTTGTGAGTCATGAGCATGGATTGTTTAATTTTTTTTTTTTAATGTTGGAAATATTGTATATATGATCTTTAATTAATCTTCATGATCCATTTGTTAATATATACTAGTAGAATTGTGTCACAGAGCTTGCTGGGTGTTTGTCTGAAGATTTGCCTGTATAATATTGGCAGTGATAAATAAAATAAAAACGAAACTATTGTGAAAAATTGACAGGCAGGAAATACAGTTATACATATTTTTTTTTAAAAAAAAGAAATGTTATAAAAGACAGTTAATTTAAGGACAAAATATATGTTTAGTCTCTAAAATTTTTAAATTTAATTTTAATCTCTAAAAATATTTCCTCTCTATTAATATCCTCTAATTTGATCTATTAATATCCTCTAATTTGAAATTTTGGATTGTGGTTTTCAAAATATTTTAGATGATATTTTATAATTTTTTTAAGTGGGATTATAAAGTATTATCTAAAATGGTGTATTTCTAATTTTAAAAAATTAAATTAAGGCTATTTTTTTTAAAGATTAAAACTGAACATACAAAATTTTAGAGGGACTAATTAAAATATATTAACCCTTTCTGTCAAAAAGAAAATATATTAACCTTTATTTTAATTATCAAGAAAAAAAATTAAAACCGTATTCACTTTCAAAATATACATCTGTTCACATTAATTAATTTATAAATGAAAATCGTCATTAAAATTAACCTAATAATCATGGAGAAAGAGTTAAAGTAATAGAAGTATGATAATGTAAAAGGAGTGAAATAAATTTACAAATAAGCATTTTTCAAGTGAAATTATATTTAAGTTCTTTAACTAAGATATTGAGCTTAAATCAAGTTTTCAGTTATAAGAACAAATCTGATAAATATTTATTTATCAACAATACTAAAAAAAATAATTACAGAATTTTAATATATATATATATATAAATAATTTTCTATTTTTTATACATAATTTTTAAACTATTTTACCTTCAAATTTTTAAATAATAATAAAAATATTAAAAATTAACTATTCTTACAAATTTAAAATCTTAAAAAATTTGATAATTAGATATAACACCAACAACATAAATACTTTTAAAAAAATATAGAAATAAGAAGCATCTCAACTTCACCAATATAAATAACTAACTAAAAGTCCAAAATAGAATAAAGAAACATCATAAATTAATTAAATTTGAAGTCATCTCTCATAAGTCTACAAAAAGTAAGTACGTCGCTTTAATTGAAAGCTCATGAACATACCTAAATGAGACGTTATTAATTGTATGCTTGATGTGTATTTTAAGAATTTAATTCTTCCTAATGTGGAGGAGTTAAATTATTAAAAAAAATCAAAGATGAATAAATGTGATAAAATTAAATACATATATTATAACATTTAAAATTAGTTATAAAATATATTGTTGATTTTAATCTATATTTATTTTATTTTTCTACTTTTGAATTACAAAATTATTGATTAAATTTTCATAATTAAGCAATTTTAACATTTTTAAATAATTTTGGTTTTGGAAAACTTTTTAATAGTTAAAATTTTCCAAAATCAAAATTTATCTTACATTTTTAAATGATTTGTGATTACTAGATAATGTATGTATACGAAGGAAAAATAAAATCTAACCTTTTGATATAATGTTTTTTTAACATGTCTTCATCTGAAATTATTTATTTGTTATGATTTAAATAAAAGTCAGTCAGGCAAGAGATAAATGAGATAGTTAGAACATTAGATTAGGTAAGAATTTTCTTTGGATAAATAATAAATAATCCGTGTATATGCAATAGAGAAAAAAATCTCTTTACCCCGTTATTTTCATACATTATTGTTTGGAGGAAGAATAAATATTAGAAACTAAAATTCATATGTATACTTGTCGATATTTCACATAGGTGAAAAAGTTCATAATAAAGCCATGAAATTCTCTTCAAGGGCAATGACATTGTTGTAAAGAAAAATAGATCGAAGTCATTGAGAAGACTAAAGGAATAGAATATATAAATATAATTTAAAGTAAAAATAAATAAATAATAACATATTTTAGTTATGATTTTATATCAGCGACAAAATAATGATAAAAACAAATTCTATTGTACAAAAATAGTAGATTCTAATTCTAATTGTTCATGGGTTTAGTTGTAAAATAAAGTATTTCTTTTTTATTATATTTTAGTTAGGATTTCTAATATATTTATTTTTCAAGAGCTGATAATTTGATAAATTAAAAGTAAAGGTTGAAAAAAAAACTAAAAGTTATATTACTAAAAAAAATGAGTTTAATTACAAAATAAAATATTCTTTTTTTATTACCATTTCAGTTAGAATTGAAAATATATTTTATCTTTTAAGATATGATAATTTGATAAATTAAAAATAAAGATTAACAAAAATTAAAAATCAAATATTACTAAAAAGACTTAATTAATCCATATTTTTATGTGTCATAATTGAAAAAACTAATAATATAAATTTACTAGTATATTTTTTTTATAATCACATATAAATATGTTATCATATTTCTTTATTTATATACAGATAGTAGATTATTTACAAAAAAAAATCAATTAATAATAAAATTAATGGTGGATAGAATTTATACAAAAATATAAAATTGAGAATATATTGATAATGCCTATTATTTTGACAATAAATTTATTAAAAAAATAATACAATAAAATATCACAATAAAATATATCACTTTTAAATTAAAATAAAAAATAAATGCTATAAACTTTTTTAGGTGATTGGGGACTTTAAACAATCATCTTATTGGTTGAAAGAGAATCACAATCCTATGCAGTGCACAATATTAATTTGAATAACTTTCATTTGAAATGAAAAAACTATTAAAAATGGAAGTGAACAAAATTAAAATAATTGTTAGAAAGAGAAAATTAAGAATACATAAAGAAAAAGATGTTTAGCTACATTTGTAGGTCAACTTTGGGTAATATGGAAAGATAAAATAACATGTACCAAGCTCTTTCATGATAAGAAAGGAACAGCTAAACAACCTCGTTTATTTCTATGCAACCATTTATTGTTGATGCAGGGATAAATATCACAATAATTAATTAACAGCGAATAAATTGTACCCCTCTTTACAAGTATGAATGATACATCCACTTTTTGAAGCTTCCTATCATATCATATATATGAAGCATAACCCCTTAGTACTATAAATGAAACATTTATATTTCCAGCTTACATTGCTGCACTTCACCTTAATTCATATTTATTTTATATTTTCAAGTGAACACCACATTCACCCACGAAAATGACTTCTGCTCTTGCGCACACCCGATTCCATCCACTATTTTTGAAAAAGATTAAATTAAAATATTAAAATAATTTGAAGTACACACATTCTGAATTTTTCAAAAAGAAAATTAAACACACTAAATAAACGTTGGAACAACTGTATGACAAGTGTAGCATTTTAAAAAATTGGATAAACAATTTTATATTAAATTTTATCATTATTCAACTTCAGTTAAAAATTTCATTTAAAAATAATTTACAACACAAGTGATAAGTGTCTCTCACACACATGAAAGATGCATAGGTTGTTGAGTATCCACTCAGTGCCAACTCTAGTTGGTTAATTTAAATCAGAAATCTCAACCGAAGATATCAGTCGTACTACTACTACTACTTTATATTTTGGTTATTAAATATTACTATTAACATCTTCGAATAATTTGCGTTAATTAACCGGTTAGTTAAAAATACGAGGATATAAGTTCAATTTTAGTTATAATTATCTTTGTAATCTTTTTTATTTTTATTATAAAAAAATAATTTGCGTTAATCACACGTGTGAAGCACATGGAAGGAACGAGATTGACGGTGTCCAAAAAATTTGAGAGAGGCTAAACCTCGTATTTAATGAGATTTTCAATTTGAAATGAAATATCAAATATCTATCTCCGTTCAAGAATGCAGAGAGGCACGCCCGTTAGAAAGCCAAACGCCTCCACCTCCGACCTCCTCACTTGGTCGGAAACTCCTCCGCCGGACTCCGCCTCCGCCACTCGCTCCGGCCAGGTTACTTTTATTATGTATTCGCTCTCTCGTTTTTTTTTCTTCTCTTCATTCTCTCTCTCTAACTCTTTCACTCTCTCTCACATCGCAGCCTTCAGATAGAATCAGCAAGGTTCTCCATGGCGGCCAGCTCACCGACGAAGAAGCGCAGACGCTATCCAAGAGGTACATTGCAGCATTAGATTCAGAGCTCGGATCAGATCTGCTACTGTTTTTCTTCTTTTCTTCGATCTCATTTATCACTTGTTTCTTTTTATGCATCGATCTGTTTTTTTTTTTTTTTTAATTTGAATTTTCTGTAGTCTATGTAGTTTCCTTTTATTTGCTGGAGAATAATGTGATGTGTTCAGTATCTTGCACGTTTTAAGTTGTTTAGCTTGAAATGGAATGCTTCCTTTGTGTCATAAGCGTGGTTAATTAACTGTTAGTGGTTCCACTATTTGGTTGTTAGCCTATGTTGATGATTGATTTGTTGCGTCAATTAAGCATTAATTAGTAGAAAGTGGTTTTCGTTATTCATGTGTGCTGCAGTATCCATTTCTTTAGGATCTACTTTTTTTTTTTAATGTTGAAGAATAATGTTTTGTTAAGAGTAATGATATTCATCCACCTCAATTTGGGGCGGATTGGGAGTGGAAATGAGATATATAGAGAGAAGGTAAAAAAAAGTAGAGAGAGAAAGCGATGCGATGAAAAAAAAAAAAAAAAAGAAGAGAGGTGAGAAGGAAAAAGTGGTGAAAGTGAGGTGATATGATAAATAATTTTCTTTTGTCAACACCACATACTAGTCTGAACCACAAGAGAGAAAGAAATAGAATAGGAAAGAGAGATAATATGATAGGTGAGGTGATATGATGTGAAAAGAAATAAAAATAAATAAAAAAACCTTGATGAGAGAGAGAAAAAAAATAGAGGCGTTATAAGGTGGGATAGAACTAATGTGGCAGTGATGTGGTACAGGAAGTTGCTTATAAGCTATCCCATTTATAGATGTTCTAAGTCTTTTGTGTTTATACCGGAGGCGTACTAATTAACTTTTTTAAAATATTCTTTTGTCGGAAATGTCCTCCATTTGCCACTCTCAGCAAACCGTGCTCAGGGTATAAAATGAAAGAGATGACTGGAAGTGGTATATTTTCTGCCAATGGGGAAGATTCTGCATCAGAAGCGAATGCTGCTAATTCCAGTAGCAGAACAAGCATACGCATATGTCAGGTATTTGGGGTTCAGTGCGACCTTATGAATATTTCTTAAACATCAAATCGAACCCCATTGTGACAACAATGTTCTTGTTTTGGTTTGTTTTCCCTTTGATTGCATTGCGTCTCAGCAAGCAATGAATGGAATTAGTCAGATATCCTTCAGCACTGATGAAAGTATTTCTCCTAAAAAACCTACCTCGATACCTGAGGTGGCGAAGCAGCGTGAACTGAGTGGGACAATGCAAAGTGATTCGGACTCAAAGAGTAAGAAGCAAATATCAAATGCCAAGACCAAGGAGCTCAGTGGAAATGACATATTTGGCCCTCCTCCTGAAATTGTGCCTCGTTCAGTGGCAGCTGCACGCACTTTGGAATCAAAGGAAAGTAAAGACATGGGAGAGCCTCTCCCCAGAAATGTCCGAACATCAGTGAAAGTTTCCAATGTAAGTTCTATCATTTCATACTAGATGGGTTGGCTAAAGAATTGTTTGTTACTGTATAATAATCCCTTCTTTTAAAATGGTTATCAATATGGACTGGACTAAGCTTCTGTGCTATTTGTTGGCCTGTAACATATACAGGGCTCTTCATGGTGATGAATTCTAAGCAGAATTCGAATGTAGATCAATTCTGAACTTTTCTTTTAGCAATATATTTTTTTAAAGATATAACTCAAGAGATGTACTAGAGATAATCATAATACAATTGTAGCTCCTGAGGAATAAAAATTATATATTCGGTTGGATTTTATTAAAATTTTACTTCATAATTTTGTTTCTTTTCCAAAATATGAGCCTGTCAATTTGATATGAAGATAAACAGCGCATACATTGTTGAAAAAAGTCAACAGTTTGTCTCATTGTCTTTAGAGATTCCAAAATAGTATTATTCCTTTTAGAATTTGTTTTCTGAATTTTTTTTAGCATTTACAATAAATTCAATAATGGCAAAATCTTTTTTCTGAAATAAGATGTAATGTCATTCATTCCTTTTTATTTTTTTTAACTTAATTCATTTGATTTTTGAGCTCAACTTTTCATTTTAACCTTGCTTTTCTTATATTTATAGCCTGCAGGTGGCCAAAGTAATATCTTATTTGGTGAAGCACCCGTTGAGAAGACATCAAAGAAGATACATAACCAGAAGTTTGCGGAGCTGACGGGCAATAATATTTTCCAAGGAGATGTTCCTCCAGGCTCAGCAGAAAAGCCTCTGAGCAGGGCTAAGCTGAGAGAAATGACTGGCAGTGACATATTTGCTGACGGCAAGGCCGAAATCAAAGACCCTGTGCGAGGTGCACGGAAACCCCCTGGTGGAGAGAGCAGCATTGCCTTGGTTTAAGTTATTTTAACTTACAAAAATACTATTGACACCCTCTAATACTTTTTTTTTCTTCTCACACATCTGTTGATTGAAATTCATGTGGTTGTGGGTCTTATTTACAAAATAGTGGGACTCGCGTTAATTTCGGTCAATGAGAAAAAGAAGAAAAAAAAGTAATAGAAAGTGTTTTTGCTAGTATTTCTCTATAACTTATCCCTTTTGACCGTAGGCATTCTAAAAATTCATCTGAATTCCCATGTTTTTTTCAGTAGAAGGGTCCGTGTGTTATCAGCATTGTAAGTTTCAACTTTCAATGAACGTGGCATAATCTTACTTTACATTTGAATGACGAATGAAACCGGTCCCTCCCGGACAAGGTTTTAGACTTTTAGTGTTCATTTCCCTTACCCTCCTTAAGCATGTGAAGACAACTTCAATTGTGTCATGTTTTGTTTAGTAATTAAGGAACACCATTTCTCATCCTGCTATCCGAAGTAGACTTGGAGCTATGAGCACCATACTTCAGTTTACTTTATATTAAATACTCTCGAATATTTAATCCATACATAAAATGTTATAAAAATCTTATCAATCTTGATATTTTTTGATACCTCACTATGTTTATTGGTGATACGTAGAATAAAATATTTAAAATTTTCAAATATTATAAAATATCTATTACAGTTAAATTAGACGTATAAACAGAGAAATATTATGAACTGAAAATAAAAATTATCTTTTTATATAGATAATTTTATGAAAAAAAATAAGATTGATAATATTATTCTATTTATAAATAGTAAGAAGTAATTTATGATAAAATGATTTGTAATTTATTTGTTTTCAGTAATGTGTAATAAGTATATTTTTAATTTATATTTGTAAAATTGTAATTATATATTTATATATTATTATGTTTATGAATTTTGATAAAAATTATAATTATACATTTATTATATTTCGTAAATATTAGTATATATGAAAATATGTATCTTATATGTATTTTATACATTTTAAAATAATTATATCGCATTATCAAATATGTGATTTATTATATATGTGTGGGATTCGATAAGAGTATTGCATTAGGGCATCATAGCTTTGGAGTGGAAGAATTTCCCACGCTTTATTATTATATGCAAAACACCACGGTGGTATATAATCTGATTTTGGTGCGGCATTTCAAGTCTCTACCAGTGCAAGCAGTGTGCTGCAAATTAGGCATGAGCACGGTGCGGGTTCGGACAGGTTCAAGGTTGAAAATATTTAACCTAATCCAAATTAACAAAAAAAAAATCAACTTATTTTCGTCTGTAACAGTGTTTCGTCTGTAATATAAACCAGAAAAAGAAAATATTATAAGTACAATCAAAGGAATTATTACAAAAATGATTACTTTTTGGTTCAGCATGGGCTAGTTATGTTCGATCGAGGTTGAGCCATTCGTGAACTACTTATAAGGTATCTTAATGAGTGACTGTAAATCTTTAAAATATCTAATATTCCTTTCCCCAAATTGCTAAATGTTCCACAATTTTTATTAGAACAAAATTAATACAATACTATTATATTTGAAATATAAAAGAACAAGTGTAGTAACTAGTAAGTAACGTGCTAACTGGCACTTCACTAAAAACCTAGCTACAGTTGTTAGTATACAACGCTACTTCGGCAAGAGACCTTAGAGTGGTGAAGAAATAGTTACACGTCCTGAAATCATAAAATCATGGTACATATTTTGGAGGATTGATGACATACAAAAACTTCAAAGAAAAGGATAAAAATGACAACATTGTTTATTTTTTTTAGGCCTTTTCTTTAAAGTGGCTCCATGTTTTGAAATTAGCACTCGATAAAATCATTGAAGTTGAAAATTAGTCCATCTAGCTGCTTACTTCCAAGGAAGATAATTTCTTTTAAGAAAATATAAATGTGCCATCATCCTAAGGATTAGGGAGAGGATTGCTGTCATTGATGTAGAGTCGGTTTGGTTGGAGTCACGGACTAGCCAAACTGAATTCATTAATTAGGTTAACATATTGCAATTTTAGAGGTTTAAACTTTTAAATCCAACTAGTTGCATGAGTATTTTTGAAGAAAAAAAATTGATGAAAGCACGAAAGTAATTAGAATATAATAAATAAAAAAAGGTGCAAAAGAATCTCCTTATTGCTTAAACAAATTAAATGTCTTTTTTATTCGGAACGATTAATAACTTAAAAAAAAATTTATATCCATCAAGGATCAAAATTAAATCCTTGAGTTAATATTAAAGGAAGGTAAAAATAAGTAAAAATACCAGGAAAAAAAAAATAAATCCTCGTAAACAAAATACAAATAAAAATAACAGTAAAAACTATAACCGACTCCACTGGGGATCGAACCCAGAATCTCTGGTTCCGTAGACCAGCGCCTTATCCATTGGGCCATGGAGTCCCTTGGCTTTTAGCTTTTCAATATTCTGTATTAATACATTCCAAATCAAATCGTTGATTGTTTCGACAATGCATTTGCAATTTTGTATGCCGAGGTACCAAGTCAAGGTGTATGGCGTTCGCGGTCAGCATCTGCATAGTTCGGTAACAAAAGAACCTGAAAGCTGTGGCGCACCAACAAAGAAAAACACCATCACGTAGTTACCTTACCTTGTTCCGTAAAAGCAAGAACAAAATACCATGTTTCTGAAGATACCAGGTTTCGAGCTCCATAATAAGTAGAAATGGGAAAAAGACAATCTCTGCGTAACAAAGCCACCCAATTTGTCTCTGTCCTTCTCAACCCCATCTCTGATTCCGACACTCAAAATCCCAAATCTCAACCGACACCAACACCAACACCGACACCGACACTAACTCCTTCAGTAAGTTCTCTCTCTTAACCCATGTTATCTTGTGTCTCATTTATTCATTTTTCAAAATGAATTTTAATCCTTATCCTTTTAGCTCCTACAATTCACTTTTCCGTACGAGGATCATGTCTACTTATGTTTGAATTTTTTATTTTCTCTTTCTTTTTTCAAGCAAGCTTTTATTTTTTTTTTGGCATTTTGCTTCAAGGTAAAGTTTTTAGGTTAGTTTTTAATATCTTCGGTGCATATTGTTTTCTCTCAGGGAGAAGTAGGTGAATCAGGGACAAGTGATGAAGAGGGTAACAAAAACCATGGTTTAGTGGATGAAGGACCTGACACATCATCCTTCACTGCGTTCCTCTATTCCTTATTGTCTTCCTCCGACACCGGAGATAACGCAAATTCGCACGTGCAGAGTGATGATAAAGCTGCAAACTCGAGCATGAAGGAAAATGGTGGGAGGAAAAGTTTGTTTTCAAGGAGCAAGCAATCACTGGGTAGAGCCATTCGCCAAGCTGCGAGAATGGGTGGATTTCGCCACCAAGATCGAAAGGATAATGTTGATGATGATGGGAATGGTTCTAGGGTTTCTGGAGTTGAGATGAGGCGTGTTGAGCCTCTGACTGTGCCTTTGGTTGATCTCCCTGAAATCTCTGAACCTTCAATTCTGCTTTCGGACAGTATAAGGAATGTTCTCTATGTTTCTCTTCCACCTCTAATTCACGGAAGGAAATGGCTGTTGCTATACAGGTATTATTTAATCTTACTATGGATAAATTTAGGTTTCATCAGTTTCATAAACTTTCCCTTTAGTCTTTAGAGCTAAAAACCTTCTATTTTAGTCTCTTTACCCTTTAGGCTTTTGAGTTAAAAACATTCTATTTTAGTTCCGGTACATACTATTTTTTGTTTCTTTTTTAGTAACCGACTCTAGGTAAAGTTAAAATTATAGGGTTAAAATAAAACAAAAACAATATGTATAAGAACTAAATTGAAATGTTTTTAATTTTGTTATAAGAATTAAAAGGTAAAGTTAAAACTATGAGAATTAAAATAAAACAAAAGCAATACAAATATGAACTAAATTGAAATATTTTTAATTATAAAAATTAAAAAGTAAAGTCCATGAAACTATAGGATAAAAAAAGTAATTAAACCATAACTTTATTATTGTTATTATTCTTTGTACTACTATTATTATAACCCCTATTCATTTTCTGTAGCACTTGGAGGCACGGTATATCACTCTCCACTCTTTACCGGAGAAGCATGCTTTGGCCTGGATTGAGTTTGCTGGTATAATTTTATTATTATTGAGCTGATTTTAATTTCAAGCATGCGGTTATCTGTGTCTGGTCTACATTGGAAAATAAAAGGTCAAAAGCTAAATGGTGCATGAATATCATGCGGGTAGTTTTGATGCTCTAATTAAACAGTAACATGCAGTAGTTTAAGGTGTCTACATGTTGTCCCAGCTTGTAAGTTTAATCTAGCTAATTGTACAGCCACATCTTTTTAATACCCATGCTATATTATGGATTGCGGTTTTCTTCTAGTATTTTCGGAGTTGAAATTGATGTATGCATTATTCTGTTCTTTAATCTTTTAGGAGAACTACATTTTTCAACCATGGATTAGTTCTCATTGTCATATATTGCATTCTAGGTTGTTGGAGATAAAAAAGGAGCAGTATTTGCCAGCTTGGTTGAAGCACCCCTTAAATCTTCCAGCAAGAAAAAATACCAGGTCATACCAAAAGTCATTTACCATGGATTATCAGAATCAGATGGACTGATTCTGTTCTTGCAATCGTGCTGCTTGTTATTTTATCGTGTTAACGATAGATTTTGTACAGGGAACAAACAATACTTTTGTTTTCACAAATATCTCTGGTCTTCCTGTTATATATCGTCCAACAGGTATCTACTATCAATCATGTCCCTTTGAGCATGTTGCCCTTTATCCTTATTTTGCTGTTATATTCATACTGAGTTTTGCTTGCTATCAAAATCAGAGATTATTTAATCTTCTTTAGTTTTTCTAGCTGTAGCAAATGAGAAGAGAATTTATTTGAAGTTGATTTATTGTGATGAATAGTGATGACAGTTTAATGACATAAGTTTCCTTTTCGTTTTGCGGTGCACATGTAAGAAAATATGACAATGAAATACATTTTATTTCGAAACAAACTTATAATACTATTTTTGAAATCTAGCTATATACCAGAGTCCCAGACCCCCTGTCCCTTATTTCCTATTTGAAGTTAAAAGTTTTATTTCTTGATAGTCATGAGATCACATTGACATCTAGATAACAGAATGTCATCTTTTAACCATATAGAATCAATAACCTTTGTGGAGTTCTTGATTTTACTTTCCTTTAGATAAGCCAGAATTTTGTCTGCAACATTAAATGATTAACTTGCCAATGAGATTTAATTTTAATCCCATGACGACTTCCTACTCATTTAGCACCAGAAGGAAGCTTTACTTGAGTTTCGAAATCCAAAGAAAAGTGATACTATAGCAGTCTATACGGCTAAAGTTTCACCAATATAATGTGACTCCCATCTTAGCATCTGATCCACATACTTGATTGCATGGAATGAATTTATGGTTTGGTGTGTAATTCCAAATGCTGCCTCTCTTGACTTGTTATAAACTGAACTAACCAGAATATTTGCAGGGGTAAACCGCTATTTCACACTTTGCAACACTGACTACTTAGCAATTGGCGGAGGAGGTCATTTTGCGCTTTATTTGGATGGTGATCTGTAAGGACGCTACTTTCATTGTACTATATATGTAGCTTTCCTTGTATCAATATCATCTGCCTGAATTTTGCCTTTTGTTTTCTTAATTTCTTCCAAATTTGTAACATCTACTTGAAGATTAAATGGTTCAAGTTCAGTCTCAGAAACTTATGGGAATCCTTGCCTTGCAAATTCTCAAGACTTTGAAGTGAAGGAAGTAGAGGTGCACACAGAGTTTATTGTTTGTCCAGCTACTTGGAAATTTATAAATGAAAGCTAATTGGTGTATGTCATTCATGCAGTTATGGGGCTTTGTATATGCTTCAAAATACGAGGAAGTACTTGCAATGAGCAGAACAGAAGCATCTGGGATCTGCCGATGGTAAATGTATCAGAATATTTGCCTGAAGTGGACCAAATGACTTGCAGGTGGCACATTTCATTGAATGGTCACTCTCCCTCTGGCCTCTAGTGAAGTGAGCAAACCAAAGTTAATATAAAATATAATGGAGACATTTTATGTATCCAATTATGCTATGACCAAGCAACTAACGTGTGTAAATATCTACCAAGCCTGTATATATGGAATCCCTGCACATTAATTTTTTTTTTTTTTTTGCCAATTTTGTCGAGAATAAAAGGGAGGAGAAAATTTATATATATTTTTGTATTCTTAAAGCAGATGATAAAAAAAATGAGAATTAAGAGCATCTCTAACGTGAGGTTCTTAGCTGGTTCTTGAGTTTAAACTTTCATTGCTTATAAGAAAACTAGATTGGAGCATATTGACATAGCAGTCTAAGTACTTAAAATTTAAGCACCGTTCATTATATAAGACACGGTTGCTTAAGAATAAAAAAATAATTTAATATTTGTTTTCTTGCAGATTCAGTCTACACACAAGTTATATACACACTTTTGAAGACACTTTTGAAGGAAAAAGTATATGTTACATGGTCTGGGATATTTATTTAGTGCATATTTATTATATAATTTCTTTTTTATTATCATATTTCTTTTTATTATGTAATTTTTTGTTTTTAATATTTAATATTTCTTAATGCATTATAATAATTATGTGATTTTTTTAATTTTTTTTATTCATATTTATATATTATCTATAATAATTAATTTTTTTAAAAATTTATCAAAAAATAAAGTATGAGTTGTCATAAAGTGGAGGTGCTTATAATTAACTCCCATTGGAACAAAAATTATAGAAGTATAATATAAATTACTTGTAAGTAATATGACATAATGAAACTTATTTAAAATAGTTAAGAGTTGCTTATAAACAACTCTCATTATAAATGTTTTAGCTGCCCTGTGACCTTAAGTACCGAGACTACAAAAGGAATTCCGTAGAAGAAATTATGTTTTTTTATTGGTACAATAAAGCATGTTCATAATTTGACTCTGCTATGGCCTATGGGGAGTTCTGTAACATTAACATGTGGTACATTGCGTGTAAAAAATAAAGGCTAAATAAATTTGCAAGTTCCTATGGACTATACTATTTAATAATTTTTTTTAAATGGGTCAATATACTTAAAAAGAATATAACTAACTATAAATTATTTTAATTAGATTTATAGTTACATATTCGTTGGTGTTGCACTATTAAGCATACGGAACTGGTTAATTTTAAAAAATGACAATCTATAAACAACTTTTCAACTGAGTCCTGTCTTTAACGAAATTATAATGGAAGTGTGATCAAAAGGTCCCATTATTGTTTTAAAAGTTTAAAGACTTAATTACAAACTTTAAATATAGGTATTTATTTTTTAAAAAAAATAAGAAAAGGTTCAAGACCGACATATTAATTTAACCTAAAAATAAAAACATCCCGACTTCTCATAGTTTCATCACTTAAATTTAAATTCCCACTTAAAAGTTGTTGCATACACTTTATTTTCTTGACAATCCATTATGGACCCTTAAAGGGGTCCATTTTTGTCAATTTTGGTAGCCACTGCTGCATCCTGATATGCAGCTGCATGAACACCAAGCGCGGCACGACCAGAAGGGTCAGGATTTTTTGACCACGCTGCATCCCATTCCACAGCTTTTGCAGTACTGCATGCCACACTGGGACCTCCTGGAACTGTTGTCCTTGCTGCATTCTGTTCAAATCACAAGGAGATTAGAAAGGATTTGAACTCGTAAACAATTCAATCAATTAGTGTGGACATTACAAGGCTACTTTATCTTTAGGTACATCATGGTCAAGGCTCTCATGACATAAAAAATTGAGTAAATAGTCAATGTACTAACATTGTACATGCCTTTTATGCTATAATAAAAGATTTTACTCTAATAATATATAAAAATTAAAATTGTATAGAACAAAACTATAAAATTCACCTTTGGAAAGAACTTCTCAAAAATGGCCCTGTAGAAGTATCCCTCTTTTGTAGTAGGAGTGTTTTCAGGGTAAATAAATTTAGCAGACGCCAACGTTGCGTCTGTGACCTGGTCCAATACACACAAAAAAAAGAAGTAGAATACAGTTACGAGAACATTATGGTATTACATTAAAGAATGAGGTTCAATGTCACAAGTGAACACGTACTTGTTTGTTAGCGTGATCCTTCAAGGCATCAATCCAGCTGTAACCAACCCCATCACTAAACTGTTCCTTCTGCCTGTACAATATGTGCTGAAAAAATAGGAACAAGAATTACTTCAGAAATCCTTCAAGACACAAGGATAAGCATGATGCAGTAGTTGATACAAACCTTTGGTAAATATGGATTCTTGTCATCATCAAATGCATTGCGTAATACCCACTTCTCTATCCTTCCAAGATCAGGCCTTATCTGTGCAGTTTGTCATAAACTTCACAAAGTGATTAAAAATGATATCAACAAGATTAAATTCATAATAATGCCGTAAAACCAATTTACTTATTAAAAACTTAAAACTGTCCATATTTTTATTTTGGTGTACATATTAATTTTAACAACTTTAACCCTTTATAAGAAGAGCATGAATCACACGATAATAATTAATAAAAAAAATAGAAAGATCTTTTTGTCTATACATATATATATATATATATATATATATATATATAATACAAACAAGTCCTACATCGATAAAATAAAATAAAAAATAACAACTTATAAAACATATTCATACTCCAGTGATAGAGAGGTCTTTTGGGTGATGACCAAAAGCAAAATCGTGAAGACTTAGACCCAAAACGGACAATATCTCATCATTATAGAGTTGTATGTGTAATAACTTTATAAAAATAACCCTCATAAAATATCTCCTTAGCTTAGACCTAAAGTAGACAATATCTCATCATTGTGGAGTTATGTGTGTAAGAAACTTATAAAATATCTCCTCAGACAAACACCATAAAATAATTCAATCATATATATATATATATATAAGAGATTCCTTATCCTAGTTTACACATTATTTTTAACAATTTAACCCTTTATAAGAAATGCAGGAATCGCATGACAATAATTAATAAAAGATGAAAAAGTTTTTTTATATAGAAGTTTTATCCTTGAAACTGCCGATAACTATACAGTACACTACCCTCACTAATATATATATGCATTCATAGAAAGACACTACGGAAACACAAAGTGACTTGTTTTCTACTAGTATATATAAATAAATAAAAATGAAGTATATTATTTTCAAGTATATTGACCTATTTTAGAAAGTTATTTTTATCTTAACTTCTGTTTAGATAAATTTTTCCATAATGTCTATTATATAAAAAAATGAAGAAAGTTTCGGGGAGTAACCAGGATCTATGCTATGCAGCAAAGATAAGAGGAAAACAAAAAAAAGTAAATGTAAAGGTGAAAAAAATAAAATACCATTTTCCACTCTGGATCTATACTCATGGCTGTGTTGATAAATTCTTTATCCAAGAATGGTACACGTGCCTCCACACCCCATGCTGCAGTGGATTTATTAGCTCTTAGGCAGTCATAAAGATGAAGAGCTTTAATCTGTCAAACCATCAAAGGCGTTAAAAAACTTGAATAAGGAATGAAGAGAATCAAGAGAGAATATAACAATTTAAGCACACGATATTTTGCAAAATAAATTAAATCAGACAGCATTACGTAACAATCATTGCACATTACTTTTCGACATGTTTCTTCATGAAACTCTTTCTTGTTAGGTGCTTTATGAAAATACAGGTAACCTCCAAATATTTCATCTGAACCTTCTCCAGAAAGAACCATTTTCACTCCCAAGGCTTTGATTTTTCTGGACATAAGAAACATTGGAGTACTTGCTCTGATAGTCGTAACATCATATGTTTCAATATGGTAAATGACTTCTTCAAGTGCATCTATACCTTCCTGATACAGTAAAAATAAAATGTTACATCTGACTATCTGAGTGGCAATAGAAAACTTAATTGAAAAACGATAAAATGAAGAGATAATGAGAGATGATCACCTGAATTGTGAAATAAAGTTCATAATGACGAGTACCAAGATAATCTGCTACCTCTCTTGCAGCTTTCAAGTCCGGAGAGCCCTGAATGGTGGAAAAGTCAGATCATGAAACATATAAAAGCTAGTATACTAGCTTCCTTGTGTTGAAGAAGGATAATACAACTCGTTCTGACCTTTAAACCAATGCAGAAAGTATGTAATTGTGATCCCCATTGACGAGCCGCTTCAGATTCAGCCAAATAACGATTGGCCACAGCAGCAACAAGAGATGAGTCCAATCCTCCAGACAAAAGAACTCCAAAAGGTACATCAGTCATCATTCTCTTAACTACAGCCTGCATGATATCACATTGAAACCAAGTGTTACAAAAAGATGTTATGATAATCAACCATGCCATCAGTCAGTGTGACTCCATCAATCACACCAGATTAAGTCTCTAAAAATAAAAAAGAACAAAAGATCATTCTGCTTCACAAACTATAACATTTCAACGAATTTTAGAAATGGGAAGCATCGTCTCTTAGTGGTGAAAGTAGACAAATATCACAATAGAAGCTTACCTTCTCAAAGGTCTCACGCAAAATCAATGGATCATACGGAGTCGATGGAACATCCTCTGAAAACCATGGTGGATTGTACCACCTTCTTAATCCTCCTGCAAAGATAACAAATTTTAACAGTATGTATAAGCGGTACAATATCTGAAATGTAAAAAACATTGGAATTGCAAGAGTCATGAACAGAGAATGCAAATTACAAATAAAAGAAATTATTGATACCCTGTTTGCTGGAATATATATGTCCGGGAGGAAAAGATATAAATCTCTCACAATCATCACTCAGGGCTTTCATTTCAGATGCAAACCATGTTGATCCTGCAAATAAAGCAGCCCTTCCATATATAATATATCTGATCCGTTCATGTGATTAAAAAAATATCACCATGCCAAAGTTACATCAAATAATCCATGTATATCCACAAAAATAAGCAAAATAGCAAATATAAATTTACTATCCAAAAGTTATTAAGTTCAGAATAAAAAAAATGAATGTGCATGTGAAGAAGAGAAAGAGATGCTTCATTTACTTGCCATGAAAAATTTAGAATATATTCCAAAATATAAGAAACAATATAACAAAGTCATACTAATGTTTATATAAAATTATAAATATGTAATGGAGAATTTAGTCATAGTGTATGACATCAACACAACGTGTCAATTTTGAGTACTTCACACACTTTAGTTAAAAAAATCCAAGTGCTATGCAAATGAGAGTAAACAACAT